CTAGATGTCTAGTAGATTATAGGAGGGAGAGTATGGTAAATGAGAGGTGGTGATCAGGAGTATAGAGAGAAATAACCATTAGGACGCTAGTGATGATAATGATGATGATGAGAAGTGAATAGAATGATTGGTGAATGGGTACAGTATAGAAGATTGTACAATGAGGTGTTTCATTATCAGTGTAATGCCAAGTGTGTGTAGATAGGATGATGAGGGGGCATTCTCTGTTAATGTGAATTAAGCTATCAATCAGGAATCATGAAATGCATCAGTATATTGACGCGGGATTGTCAATGCGATGATCCTGGAAGTCGCGCCATTGGAACAGATGAATGCTATTATCAGTGCACCGGGTATTGTCCATCATGCATATAGAATCAATACACGCGTAGTTTTCATCAATCATAGTCTATGAGATCATGAGTGGTGTAGAGTTGTTACCGAGTTGATAGACCGCGCGCTTAATTGTCGATATTTTGAATCTGTTAATCATCATTACTACATTAAGAGGCGTCATATTTTTTACGTAGATAAAAATAATGCATGGGTTGAACTGCATAAAGAGAGCATGCGTTATCGAATTGCTACGTATTACCTGATGCGACAGGTTGTCACTGAAGTGGAGTTAATCGGGGATTGATCGAAGTTGACATTATCATCGAATGGAATTAGATAAGGCGTGGCGGGTAGGTGTAGGCGATAATGCTTAATAGGGGGGAGTCATTGTATAGTGTAGAAGTGAGGACGCACAGGCAACATTAAGGGAAGGGAGGGGACGGGGAGCCGAGGGAGAGGAAGAGGCAATAGAGAGGGGGATAGTTGAGTAAGGGAGAATTAAGTGATAAGAGCTTGAAGGATGGTGTTATAGAGAGTGTAGCGGAGGGGAATTATTTGCTCTACAATGGAGACTCAGAGAATACAGAGAGGTATAGACAGTCGAGAGGAATAACTGGGTAGGGCATATGGGATATGTTGTAGTGTGAGTGGTAGGTGTGTGGTGGTGTGTGTTGTGGGTTGTGGTGTTGTGTGTGTGTGTGGTGTGTGTGGTGTGATGGTGTTTGGTGTGGAGTGAGTGAGGTAGTGTAGTGAGTGAGGTTGTGTGTGTGTGAGTGTGTGTGTGTGTGGTGTGTTGTGTGTGTGGTGTGTGTGGTGTGGTTAGTGTGCGTGTGTGTGTGCATGTGTGTGTATGTGCGTGCGTGTGCGTGTGTGTGTGTGTGTGTTTTGTGTGAGTGAGTTTGAGTGTGGTGTGTGTATGTGTTTCTGCGTATTTACATAGGTGTGCATAAGCTAATAAAGGCGTCCAGGATGCTACACGACGAAAAACTAAGCACCCCAAATGTAGCACCGAAGCACAAAGTCCCATCTAATAAAAGCACAAGCAAAGTTGGAGTCCAGGAAGTCACATCACAGAGGACATCATTCAGAAGCCGACACGGGTTGTAGCAGCACCTGGGTCGTCGCTGAGTAGTGAGTCAAACTTAACTCTACTATTACGGTAGTGATAACTTCGCTGTACCCTTCCAAAGATACACTTTAAAAAATAATTTCACTCTCCTGTGTCTTTTTTCTCTCGCTGATAAAGATATTTATTCCAAAATTACTTGTCAGGTTTATCAGCGTTTATGCAGTGTGCTGTATTGTACCTCTTCATAAACAAATAACTTCCATTGAGCTTCAGTATTACTTTCTCGCGTGTTTTATCAATGTGTTGTTGGCAAATGTGTTATTTATCCTAGTTATGTGACTGAATAGTATCACCCTGCACAGTATTCATCAAGTGTATCTAAAACATTTTATATCTTGTTTTTGATGGGAATTATTCCTTTTTATTTTCGACCTGGTGTATCAGTGAGAGTAGCCAGGAAGTAGGAATGATTGGTATTACAGTATTTATAAAGCTGATATGAGCTAGTGTGGAAGCTAATTTATACAAATAGTAATAGCATGATTACTAATGTTAGCGAGGACAAAGTTGATTTTAAAAAAATAAAGAATAATGACTCGTTTGACACCATATATTATAAATTTTATAGCGTATGCCAATATCACAAGAGCGAACCCTATATTACCATCAACACAGATAATTTCCACGTCAAAATTACATAGCGGTGATAAAAACAATCAAGAAACCATTGAGTACCGTATGCCACGCTAATAACAGTGAATTCGCAGTGTGATTGCACGCGAAACCTGCCCAGAAATGTCGACGTTTGATGACTTGCTCCGACGGCTCGGGACAGGAAAATGGAACCTCACTATTTCCTCTCCGTTTGTTACTGTAAGTGATGGACCCATGATGCTGTACACGTTAATCTCATATTCTGGACATCCTTTGCCACTTGTTATAGTGCATTATGGTGTATGGTGTGGATGTGTAACGATAATGCGTCCATAATAGGGGTTGTTTGCTGCTTCCTAGTCACAGTGTGGGACCTGCGTCTTAACTCCTGAGGTGGGTCATACTTGCCGGTTGCCAGAAAAGGTCGCTGACGAGGAAACTATCACAAATATGACCGGGTAATTGTTATTTATCACTTAGTACCTACGCATGCATTTTTTATATCAGTATCTTATGTAAGCAATATAATAATAATAATAATAATAATAATAAGAAAAATAATAATAATAATAACATATGTAAACATTATAATACCAATAATAATAATTGGGAAAATTACAGTAACCTAACAGCACTATCAATGCTTTCGTCTTAATAAACTGACATTATAATCCTACATATACAAAAACAGTAATTACCCTTACCATCTAAGATCCCAGTGTAGTTATACAGTGACGACCACAGATGGCAGCACCGACGAGCGCCCCTGCACTGAATGGGACTTCGACAACACTACCTATACTAACACTATTACTTCCGAGGTATGTACATGTGCTTTGATTATGCTAAGGCAATGTTTTTTTAAAGATTTATTCTAATTGGATATTATTATTCTCTATGTTTTGAATTAGATAACGGTTATCGTATATAATAGATATGACTGATGCTATCGATCTGTCATTTTTTATTTTCT